AGGCAAAGATGATATTGATTGATAAAAAGTACAAAGGGATTAAGGATTTAATAGGGGGTCACATAGCGGAAGGCTGGCCGGTGATTAAAAAATAAGGTAATCAGCATGCCATTTTCAGTCTATCAGGATTTTTTATTTGTAAAATTACTGTATGTATTGTCCCAACAGTTGGGTCCAGTGAGTCCTGAAGGCGTCCCTGAAATATCAATTACTTGACCAGTGTATGGCTGTCTGAACTCCCACAATATGACAGACTTGAATGGTTTTGCTTATAGGATCTGATATCGTGCATTCTATTTTAACACGGATGGGGATTCCTTGCATGTCTAACAAAACTCATCAACAAAGAAAATAGATGACCACAGCAGAGGTCTGCGACTTACGTCCGCTTGGTCAAATGACAATAGACACCTACATGAGTTCAAAATCGCAAAAAAACTAAACAAATAATGTGCATGATAAACCAGTCCTTCTCTTCCATACGCACATAATTAGCCAGAAGTCGAACTAGCGCACTCTTTTTGTAAATGAGAAATCTCCATTAGAAAAAATATTGCTTTCGCAAATGGAGGCAAATGTTCGAATCCCAGTCGTATGTATAAGTTCAGAAGAAAAAGAAGACTAATCTAGCTCGTTCTGTTTTTGTTACTATCTCGGTCAATGGACCGGTTTACGAGTTTAAAAACTCAGAACAATAAATAGACTACCCTGGTGCTCAATCGGTCTTTCTTTTTAGTATAGTTATTAGGCAAGGAAAAGAAACACCACCTGCAGGTGTGGAGAAGAAGGACATGCGGCAGATGCTGCGTAAGTCTGCCACCAAGGTAATCTAATTCGCACCAAGTCACCGTCCCTGCCCTATCTTGCCCTGGAGCACACGGTGAAAATTGTCGGCAACGACGGTCGAAATATCCCATAGTGCATTTTATGCAACTGTATTTGTGACTGATTAGGTGATTGTTGTTGTAACTCAGTACTTGCATCGTGCGTCTCTTGCTCTTAAATACTTTGGATTTTAGGCAACCACAATCTTTGCGACAGACGAGGACATCAAGAAAGCAGGGGCTGGTTAGTTTCCTCTTCCTCCATTGTAACTTGTTTGTCCGGAGAGATGACGTTGAGGTGTTCTTTGAATTCCAGCATCTCATCGCGTTCTATGACGACGTACGTACCGTCCACACGCAAAGCCTAGAAATTTCGTCTGTGTTGTTTGAGAACCAACGACTCCAACCGTTGTTGAACAGCCTCGGCTATTAGTCCCGAAATCGGCGAATCCATTAGCGTACTAACCACCTGCTCGCAGATTGTTCCGTTGAGCGTAAATTACGACTTGAGACAGAGCTGAGGGAGTTTAAGGATTTGCCCGTGTTCAATGCGATTCTCCGTTTCATCGTATTTGTCTCATTGGAGCAGTTCAATGTTCTTGATTGCCAGAACGTGGATGATATAAATGTGCCTTGACGTCGCTTGGCAGGAGGCTAGTGCCTTTAAGTTTCTCCAAGAATTTTGTTGACGAGCTGACTGTGGTGTTCGAATCGGAGGTCAGAATCGTGAGAGGCCAAAACGGCCATTTTGTCAGTAAGTAAGTTGAAGTACCCTCGAAGGAGACGATGGGCCGGAAGGGGGACATTCTCTTTGTGCACCCTGAGTTAGAGCAAAATCTAAGACGTCAGGCTAATAAAGCTCTTGTTTCAATAATCGTGTCTCATTCTCCGCGACTACTTCCTGGAACTCGTCTCTTTGCTTCTATTAACATTCGCACTCTTTCATAAATGAGAAGCCTTCATAAGAAAGTCCTTGCCTTCACAAATGAAGACGAAAGGTCAAGTCTCAGGCGTATTCATAAGGAAAAATATGACTCGTCGAGCTGGCCCCGTTGTTATTACCATCTCTGGCAATGGCCTCATTGCATAGTTCGACAACCCTAAACACTAAACAGACCGTCCCGATGCTTGATTAATCTTATTCTTCTTAACATATACTTATTGCCTTTTTAGAATGTATTGGGCATGAGTACCCATGTATATAACCTTCTCCCAAATGAAAGCCGAAGGGAGAATTTATATCACTTGTATATGCATAGACTTTCCTAGTTTATACTAATGTTTTTGCGAAGGAAAATGAGAAGCTTCCCTTTTCTCTTGGCCTCGTCTAGGCCCTTTCTGTCATTATAAATGCTGTACACAATGGTCATATTAGTAGTAAAGTACTTCCAAAACAGTTAACTTCGTGTCTGGTCAGCTCCCCAACCGCCTATAATGCGCACTTTAAATGCATAACGTATTTGCTGTATACTCAGAAGTTAAAATGATTACTTTGTAGTGAACCATTCAAAAATTTACTAGACAATCGATTGCATAGAAATTATAGATATTATAAAAACAATAATTTTCTGACGTTAGTACTGCCCACAGAACATTAAAATACCCAGATGCGCAAGTCTAGATATCCAAAATAGCGTGCTTATGCACATCTTACTTTGCTCGATGTAAGGGAAACGCGCGATCATATTGCAGACGCGTAAATGCGCAGTTATGATCTATGACAGTTGTTGTCATCGATAAATTTTGAGAATGGCTGATTTCCGCGCAAAAAGTACTCTTCTTCTTTTTTGAACCATTTACTCAAAAATGGTAACTGTAAAGTCAGCAAAATAACACTAACAAAATTATATCTGTGAAAGAACTTTCTTGCCGCGAGATTTGAGGCGAAGACGACGACAGTTCGACCGCCCTTACCGACGACATCCACTGTTCCTCTCACAATGTGGTGGTCACGGGAACATTGGCTTGCGCATGAATTAATTAACGGTGATGGTCGACTTGCAACGCACTTAATGCACTCACTTCTCTCATATTCATCCGAGCTCTGCGCCAAGACATAGTTAAGAAGGCCGTAAACGGGATGAAGGCAGTGGCTAACAATAGTTAACGGCCTGTCTCTGTGCGCCACTCAAGCCTAGTCCCTAGACGACCGACTAGGTTGTCCAAAAAACCAGATCCAAACTGAGTGGGATCACTGCGGCCTGAATCTTCGTTCTCAGAGGAGGACCAGTTAACCGCAAGCCGAACCGCGGTTTCTAGCGTCCCGTGATATCTTAGAAGCGCATCAGAGTTTTTATTAGTAAGGAATATGCCTTGGGTGCCGTAGGGACAGCGTCTCCTAGTCGACCTCTTTCTGTGCACTCTCGCAGTCCAGTGACGATCGGCTAACTGATTCGGGATTGTGCGCAAGTGACTGGCGCGGCATGAGCTTGCGCACAGGCGCGCCATTACTGGACTCCTCTGTCGATCCAGTGCATCTCCACCGTGACCAGTTGTAGGGGTTCTATTCAGAGTGCAAGACCAAGTGAGCGAGTATCTTCTGTCGTTATTTTACCGAAAAATGTATTTACTTCGAGTCACTGACATATTCAGCTACATAGCCATTGCATGTCCTCAAAAATGTGCACTGGGATTAAATAAGAGAATGAACAGCGTCTAACGGCACTCGATCCTCTCAAAGTTTAAAATTACTTAGTACAAACTTCAGTTTGGAGCATTTACTGAAATATTTAACAATTCGTCCCGAGTAAAATTACGTCAAAATGGTAGTATTTTCACTTTTGAGCTTTGCCACGTTTTCCCACAATACCCCAAATCAAAACAAACTTCTGTGCAGGTTCCTGGAAGGTAAAATGTCTTCAAGGTTTTATTGTGTGAATTCTTAAATTCAAAATTAATTAAAACGAAGAATGGGCGTTGATCTGCTTTTCTTATTATGCCTGAGAGCAAATCGTATACTGCTGCGAACTTCATAACTGAATCTATTTCTAGTACCAGCTAATCGCGCAGTTGCCTATTGTATTTGTATGGTTTAAGACGCCGATGAAATTAACCTCCACAGAACGCGAAACAATTTTGGACATTTATTTACAAGAGAGTGAATATAATGTCTTTGGAGAACGGCACAAACCTTTATACGACGCCTCAGTTATTGCAGTCTGGCCCCCCGCCAACCAGTTCACCACTCCACACATATAAGGGAACGTCCAAGTTATCCGTCAGTTGGCAGAATTCCAACCTGAAAGAGGAAAATGGCAGACAAGACAGGGCAACATTCTACACGGCCCGTATACTCGGCGGGGATGGGAATGCATCTACCGGCGTATAATCGCACAGCAGACTGCGAGGGTTATGGTTTATTAAAAAGTAGCATAGTATTCGCACACAATCCTTAAAACGCACAATAGTGAGATGCAATCCTGAAATGAACCTAGGCAATCGCCTCCAAAGGTCGGCTAACCATTCAGACATCGACTGAGAGGTGCTGCCGATATACACCCAGATTCCGCGCGTGCATGGGATTATCAGGGGTCACATTAAGAAGGAGCAGTTGAAGCCTGGCTTTTAATGGACTAGTCCGCCACTCCACACAAACACAAACGCACACACACACGACAGTTCGACCATCGATTTCGATGATGTCCACCGTGTGCCCCACAGACTGCATTGTGGGAGCAGGGACGGTGACTTACGCAGGGGTTTATAGTGTCAGTAGACTTGCGTAGCATTTACCTTCACTCTATCCTCCTCCCCCGCCTGAGCCCGTTGTCAAGACCAAGTCAAGAAGACCGTAGACGGGGGAGGCCGCAGGTGGATGGCTCGGATGGATCCTCGCCTTGGAGCTCCACTCCGCACCCCCTGGTCCACATACAAATGACCAGGATTTTGACCACAAAACAATGGGGTGGTGACAGTGGTCCATTTGTGCGACGAATGTCGACAACAGGGTCCGCCAGCGCACCCCGGGAATGTTGTCATTTGTTATTGCGCACAGATAGCGCCTGCCAGAGTCCGATGTGGCCCCCGTGTTGGTCCAGCGCATCTAACATATGGCCCGTTTGGAGGGCACACACACACACAAACGGGCTGACTGCTTAGACTGAGCTGAAGCGTCGGTCGGCACGCCACGGCGACTAGTGCCATCCTCCAGTTCGGTCGGTTGTTCCGGGGATTCTCATGAAGGAAACGAACATTGCAGGCTGCCAGATTGAGCGGACAAATCCCAGCAGCCCGCGGAAAAGGGGCGGAGGGAAGGAGGAGGAAGAGGAAAAAGGAGAAGAAGAAGAAGAAGAAGATGATGATGATGATGATGATGAAGAAGAAGAAGAAGAAGAAGAAGAAGAAGAAGAAAGAGCGTATTGCTTCCTGATTGTCGGTTTCGACTGCAGAAGCTGCAGTCTGTGGGCCGCGGCCATTATGCAGACGTCGTGAGCTCAGCATTTGGTTGGGGCATCCTCTTAGCCCCCTCTCCATACTGTGGCATGCGATGTTGTTCTGAAATATGACTACTTAATCGTTCCCTACGGCTGTCGCTCTCCATTATGGGTCGCGTACTGTTTAGTGAGAGAACGACCGGCTCGACCCAGACCGCCCACGTGATTGATGTTGCCCTTGCCGTAGGGAGAGAGTAGAGTAATGAGAGCAGACAGAGAAGTGGTACGGAATTAGCAGGCGTGGGAAAACATTCACATCTGGTCTACCCCGCCAGTCGAGGCGGTTACCAGGCGGTGGCCGCCGGGTCAAGCCTAGTTTCGAGGAGCAACACACACATAGGCGGCACAGAACTGCGAGATGTCCTCAGTACAGTTTTTTCAGTAATTCCGGAGTCGTAGACGTAAAAGACGACTGACGTTGAATGACGCCATTATTTCGTCACCGCACAAACAATACTCTAACGTGTCTTGAAAATCCACCGCATTGCGCCCCAGAATCGGGCTTAGCTAATAGTCCAGGAAAAACCACCGTCGATGTTTGAAATGCAGGATGACACAACAGAAAACGAATTCGATTGGCCTTGATGCAGTAATATACATCAGAATGCCCCTAGGATGCAAAAATATGCATACAAAGCGTTATTTAACTCATGGAATATGTCGAAATTCACGAATGATTGCCAATCAGTCGCGAGCCGACACCATTTCATGAGTCCAATGTCTATATTAATTAAGTACAAGTTTAAAAGAATTAAAAGCATAAAAGAAATACTAAAGACAGTGTTGCGTTGTTTAGGAATGCCGATTTTATTAGAAAAGCGCAATATCTCGAGAACGTCAGAAATGGCTCAAATGCAGTAAACTTCTTTTTTAAATGTATGGAATGTATTCTCATACCAAAAACATTGTTATATGAAAGAGGAAATAAAATAACGTCTAATATTAATGTTTCAGTGAAGCTTACATCTAAATATCGTTTAATAAATAGCGCGATTTGACATATGACGGTTTGCCACCTGTCCACATTCTGAGTGTAGATTTCAAAACAGTTTTCCGGGGATTCGTGTTGTCCTTGACTCGTTTGAGTTAACTGAGATGAAGTTTAACAAGAGAAACTGGATTTTGCTTGAGTTCAAAAATGGGGACGTCGTAGAAACAAAGGTTTTCATAAGATGACATGCAGTGAGGTCGGTCTGCGCGTAATAAATTTAAATAGGATTGACAGGCATGATTGCAAGCATACCATTTTCTGTTTATAGAGAGAACTTTTCGTCCGTCAGATTTATTTACATTTTTCGTTTGTTTCGGATTACGTTGAGTTTCAGATCAGGTTCGAAATGTTGCAGAATACTTCATGATTTTCAGTGTTTTCACCCGATCATCCACATAGACAGCTTCTGAATTACCTGTCTGTCGAAAGTTTTAAAATCAGATTATTTCTGAAGGCATTTATCGAATAATTCATATGCCAAAATATCAAGGAATTTACGGAATAATTCGTTTGTCGGCCACCGGATGGTTACTATGAAAGGTGATAAGCCGCTTGGTGTTCCACAATTTCCAGTAAACTGATGGCTCAACTATCATACAAGCTGAATTCACCTACAAAAACAATGAAGCATCTCCACCAAGGAGTCAAGAAATATAACTGACATTAATTTGGATCAAAAACACAGGTTTCAGTTAAACGGAGGTGAATAACTCGAGAGTTCTGAAATAGTACGAAAACACACCGTACCATCCGCTTGCACATTATTTACCGTCAGTCAATTTACAAACTGCCATAAACAGCAAAGCGATTCGTCTGGCCTGGATGCATTAACATACACCATAATGCTACCTGGGATGCAATAATAAATATATGTGTATATATAAGGTGACATAAAGTGAATCGAATCGGTGAGCGCCCACTACGATTGTATATTCCCGATCGAAAACCGACAAGGCAACGGGCTCGTGGCGCAGTGGTTAGAGCCGTGGACTTCTAACAAACAGGTTAAGAGTTCGAGCCTCGGGTGTGCCACACTTTGGGGTTGGGTATGACTGGATGACGACGGCTAATAAGCCAGAAATGGCCAATCAAGGCTCCCCTGTCTTTGTCGGTAATATCACTCTGTTTATAATTATATGGATATATAAAATAGTCATAGATTTTAATAATCCATATGAATACAGTATGCTTGGGATGCTGCCAAATTCCAGCAATAAATCCCCAAGAGTTACGGTCGGTCACATCTAAAAAAACGACAGCTAATGGAGCATGTCATATTCTTAAAGCTATTTCTGACTTGGTCATACGGAGATGAACTCGTAGATATCGAATAATGAATTCCTTCAGAAAGTCATTCCGCATAAATTGACTTCAGAAATCTCACGTCTTACATGCTTTTCGTCCGGGTCGCTGGTCTCAGCATGAAGTCGAACAAAGAACCTTCCAACTAAGCATCGTTTGTCGGTTTCTGGATGGTTCCTATGAAGGGTGAGATACTCTGTGGTGTTCGTTGACTTTCAAAAGATCTCTGGTCCAAATTTCATACAAACTGGATACATCCACAACTACTATGAAACATATGCACCAAGCATCCATAACGATATCTGACAATAAATTGCATCAAAAACTCGAGTCTACTTTAAGCAAAAAGTCAAGAGTCCCGAAGAGGTAAGAAAACTCGCCTTAGCATCCGCTCACAAATTATTTACCGCCAGTCAATTTACTAATAATTCTAACCAGTGCACACCGACAACTTAGAACACTCCATCCTGCCGCCAACAGCTTGCACCATCAGTTGCCAAGTCCGAACTTGCTCTGTCGAAAGCCTCAACTTCAAGTACAGCCAATCCACCCACCGGAAGGCGGCTCAACTGATTTTGTATTCAGGGTGTCCACTACACCCGACTGCAGCATACCTAGCTAACAAACGAAACAAAGACAGCATTGACCGGCCCACTCAGCCTGTTGGAGAAGAAATGTCGGATAAAAACAAAGCTGCGAGTCGAACAATCACTAGGGACATTTGGACGACAGCCATGAACTTGTTAACGGCAGAGGCGGGCTGAGAGCGTGGGCTCGTAAGTGCTTCGTGGCGCCGTCGTTTACAACACACCCTAATCAACGTCCATGTGGGGAGGGTATCGTCGAACATTAAAGCAACCCGCTAAGCCAATCCTCAAATAGAAGAGCTTGCATGGGCAAATTGGAATTTATGGCCATTCTTCCAGGAAAAAACCGCTGCACTGCGTGCTACCGTCAGATCGCTGACGTTCAACTTACACGCATTTTACTGCTAGTTTGTGGGAACTGGATTTGTGGATCACAGTTTCCCTTTTTCGCTACCAGCACAGTTAAATAGGAATGTTTCCAAAAGTACATGCATAGGGATAAATGCGCTCAAACGACATGTTGCGAAGTCGGTCATTGCCTCCTTAGATTTTATAAAGCACAGGAAAGTAAAATATCCATAGTGCATGCATATTTTATCACACTACCAGAATAATGCCATCCCTAGAGAATTGACAATAGGCCTGACTAGAATGAAAAAAAAACCATGACTCGCCAAACACTAGTCGTTTACAAACCAAATGTATATAGTGAAATTTAGTCTATACGCAGCAGGCGATGGTTGTAAATGCCCGGCACTTGATTGCAGGTATCGAATCAGCGCTCGCAGATTTTGATTTATTTTGATAAAATGTTCTCCAATCGAAATTGCCCTGAAGGATTTAGGTAGCGCAGGTATATTAAGAATGGAAATTGTGGAAGGGAGTTTCTTCATTGAGGAGGAGGAGGACGACGAGGAGGAGGAGGAGGAGGAGGAGGAGGGGGAGATTTATGCGCAGCGTACGTGCCTACACATACAGCCACGTCCGTGTCCCCTGTTTACGTTCATCTAACCACATGTAACGTCCTAATGGTTAATTACGATGGTCACTTGGGGGAATTCACAGTCCCAGATTAATTCATTTCCCATGTATGAGTAAGTCCAAGTTGGGCAAATGTAACAACCTATTTCTAGAGAGAGCACACTGACTGAGTCTGATGTAAACACACACCTGGAAAATCCGTACCGGCAGCTTGGCATCTCAGTTTCACATTGCATCCTCGCGATTAATTCATTTTTGAACATCAAGCAAATATGTTATAGAGACCGCATCGTTACAGGCTATGCCGCTCACTCCCATCAGGTAATGATTAGCCCCACTGACTAAATATCCTAGCGGCTAGGCAAGTTAATGGTGCTTAGTCCCAAGCTACGTGATGAATGTCCTCTACCTGGCCACAGGGTTAGTAGACCAAAAACTATTGTACCTACTTGTACTTTTCCTTGGTACTGATGAAGTTATGCCCGATCTAGTCGACTTCGATGATGTCGCGAATTGTATCTCTCAAGGGGTGACTATCCGCGGCAGCAGATCTGGATAGTTAAACTCACTCTCTTCGCCAACGTCGGAAACCAAATAGCGAACGTCTAAGAACCACCTCCACATCCTGATAAACTGCGTAGATCGAGGATCCGAAATGAGCCCCCATTGACGCCTCCAATGGTTAGCGGTACCGGATCGATGGCAAAAACACTGAGATTCTGAGGTGTACGTCGAAGAACCCGCCAAAACCATCTCAGTCGTCTTTCTTGTATGGATTGGGTTATCCGTGCGATGTTGTCGCAGCGAGTGCGGACTGTCTCATTTGAGTCGAAGTCGACGAGCTTCACTAAAGAATGGGACGCGGCGTCATAACACCGCCGCCTTCATTACCGATGAGCGCCAGACCATGTGCGACGGCCGGAATAACCTCCCAAGCCTGGCAACGTTAGTCCCAAGAATAACCCAACTAACATCAATTTCAACCGTTGTCCAAAACCTGATCTTGGGCAAAAGGGGTCAACTTTGATGTCGTTAACCTTATTGGAGGTGAAAATCCGCTTCCTGCATAATCCCCTTCTCAACCTACTGCCAGACAAACCATTCTGAAGCCTATTAACTACAAAGCGGGGTTACATA